CTTTCCAACCCAAACCAATCTGAGATTGCAGGGTGAACAGACATCACTGCAGCCAGTGCAGTTTCCTTATGAAGCTTTCTCAATAGGCTCATGTCTTGTTTTAAAACCAGACCTGCAGTGACCCTGCTCCTTGAGCTGTTCCATGTCCATGGTGAGGGGTATGTGCAGGCTCCACGCACCAAGAGGCTGCTGATCTACTACCATGACTCATGAGTGACCTTTGAAAGAGGCTGACTTCTGCCTGGCTGGCAACAGGAGAACCACCACCACCACTGCTCCCCTGCGCCTGCTGCAAGTGCTGGCAGCTCAGCACAAAGATGCTGAGATACCTTCAGAGTGAAGCTTTGGGCAGGACAAACAGCTGGTGGCCACATACCTTCCCTTTCGTTTCAAAGTTCTTATGTGTGTATATAGATATATTTAAAACCTCCTTTGTTCTGCTCCAGTTTTAGGGACATTTCTCTCAAAGAGGTTTTTTTCTGAGTGAAAACCTCTGCTGAAACCAAGCAAGGGGTGAATGGTGCTCAAATGACCTTGCCCATCGCATCGCTCACAGTGTCGGGAGCAGCCTCCCAACCTGGCAGTGCTGATGGAGGCTGCAGGCTGTCCCTGCTGCAAAAAAGCTGCTGCTCCCTCTGCGACTGTGATCTTATCTGAGGCAGACACAACTGCGCAGCGCTCGCTTGGTGCTTGTTATGAGGAGCCTCTTATTTTCTGTCCTGAGCAAACACGCTTCTTGCTTCCAGTACTGAGCCCTGGTTGGAGGCTCAGGGTGCCTGGGCTGAGCTCTGCAGTTCCTGCGCTGCGGGATGAGGGGGGCAGGAGCAGTAAAGAGAAGGTGGTTTCCCAGTTGCCAGCTGTGATTTGTGATGTGCCACATGAAGGGTAGCAACACCTCCTCCTGCTTGGCTTTGTCTCAGCCAACTGCTGCCTGCACGCAGCAGGCAACCGGGAGAGCTGCTGCCGAGTTCCCCACAGCCACCCTTTCCAGGTTCCCACATTAGCATGACAATTGCAGCCCCAGAGGCAGGGAAGGGAATGCAGTCTTGGAAACAACAATATGCTAGAAATGAAGAGAGAAATTAATAGCGTAGCAAATTGTAATGCTCAGCGCGTCGGCTGCGTGTCGGCCTTGAAACACAACAGCTCTATGTGCAGCCTTGGCATTGTGCTCATTTCCAAACCTTGCATTGCGTTTGGCCATCATTTCAATACCTGCAGTGGTTTCCTGGGGCAAGAGCCTGCAGGGCACCATCCCTGGCACCCAAAAACCTGGTGTGTTTTATTCCTCTTGCCTTTTGTCCACGCTGCGTATCGACACAAAGATGCTGTGCTATCTGAGATGAGTTTATAACAGTGAGAGCCAGTGGGGCTGCTGGAGTTCAAGTCTCGGGGTGTTTTGGGTTATAAATCTTGATTTCTGAGGGCTTTCTTATTTAGTGGCATATAGCTCAGCTATCAACATGGTTACAGCAGTGACTGCCAGCGCTTGGTGCTTGCTGTGGCCCGTGGTGAGCCCAGGGGCAAAGCAAGAGCAGCACTGCTCATGTCTTGTCAAGCTTAAAAGCTTCAGGACCACCCTGGATGAGGAGCTCGAAGCTGTGGAGTCCTATTTAAAGCTGCTCACATTGGAACCATACACGTATGTGTGTTGTAATCTGAGATTAGGGTGATGCCTGGGGAGCCGAGGTCCGGGCAAGGATGTCCCTGGCACTGGTTGATGCATTCCTGCATTCCCCATTTGTGGCTGTGGCACCGGGATGTTGAACTCATTCTAATGGCATTTCTTTTTCCAAACCCCTTTGAAAAGCACCTCCTTGGTGGCTCTCCGTGCCAGCCGTGACCACGGCTTCTCTGGTGGAGCAGCCAGCACCAGTGCCAACAATTCCTTTGGCTCTTCTTTGAACTGAGTCAGTTCACTTAAGCATTAACCTTAAAATAGCAACTATTTCTGTAGCTGATATAATTAATCTTGTGTGTGTGCGTTCCTTCCCCATCCTAAGCTTTGAGGCTTCACCACTCCCCAGCTGACCAACTCCCTGCTTTGGCACAAGAAGGCTCTTGGCAAATCCTGGCTTTTTCATGGAACAAACACCAAGTGTGGGCTGTGTGTGCTCTGCTCACAGAGGCTGTTTGCCTCCACCACCGCTGTCTCCAGTAGCAGATTCCTTGTTCCCGTGCACCTTCTCAATCTGCTTTTGGGTGGGTGGATGCAGAAGGGGGATGCCCACAAGTGTGGGGTAACACTGGCCCCAGAGGTGGCAGTAACGGAGGGATGGATGGGTGGGTTTAGTGATGCACTAGGGAAAAGGGGTCTGGGGAAGCCTGACGCTTGAGTGGCCCTTGCGTGGTGCCTCATCCAGCCCTGGGAAGGGGAGGAGAGAGGCAAGGGGTGGGCTGGGATGTGGTATTTCTCCTCCCCTTCCTGGGGCAGCTCCTCCATCAATGCACATCCAAGCGTGCAAGTGTAGGATACAGGTCACTATCCCCTCCCTAATTTCCAGCCCTGCCTTATGGCTCCAGCTGTGCAGCAGCCGGGCTCTAGACTGCTGTGCTGGGCTGTTGTACCACTGATGTGTCAGGTCTGAGCACATCAGCGAGGGCGAGGAAGGGGGAAAGCAAAGACCTTTTGCAATGAAGAGCAGAGAGGGAGTACGCTAGAGCGGGGGGGGACCGAGCCTGGCTGCTTGGATGCAATGCTGTTCCCATGGGGTGACTGGAATCCTGATCCATCAATGAGGATGCGTTGGGGAAAACCCCCGTGGTGGTGTCTGAGGATGCTGCTTCAGCGCAGCGAGCCCACGTGGAACAAAAGGCTGCGTGGCTGAGCCTGGCAGACTCGCTGTGTCCTGGGAAAAGGAGCTCAGTGGGTTTATTAAACACTTTGAAGTAAAAACCCGAGGAAGGAAAAGCTCCCTGCAGGCAGAGCAGCCCACGCAGCTCCCAGCTTTTACAGGCAGAGCATGGAGCATCCTCAAGATCCCATCCCAACCTCTGGCGTTGGCGTGGTAGGAGAGGTACCAGCTTCCCTATGAGCACGACCCTGCCCCGACCACAGCACCGGAGCCATCATTTCCATGACAGCACGTTGCAATATGGGGAACAGGCAGCGGATGCACACGCGGTTGCTTCGTAAAGAAGCCAGCCCAGGAGCCCCTGCTGCAGGCACTGGTGGTGGGGAGATGAGAGCACAGCCCAGGCTGCCTTGGAAAGGAGACACAGGGGCATCTGCAAAGCAAAGCTGCTCTCAGGGGCTGGCCCTGGGCTGGATTTTCCTCTCTGAGCAAACAACCCAGCTCCTTCCCCGACGCGCTGACCGCATTCAGCTGGATGGGAGTGTTTCGTGCCCCAGACACTGTTCACATTTCAATCCCGTCAGCCCCCAGAGCCTTTCCGGGCTGGGGCTGTGTTTCTCTGGCTGTAGAAATGTCGCTGCATCCCAGAGAATGCCGCTAGTGGTGTTATTTAAACAATGATGGGGTTAAAGCTGATCGTTAGGAGGAGAAAGTGACTGGCTTGCACAGTTTCCGATTACTTTTCTCCTCTCGTCTGTGTGAGCTGAGCTCTCTCTTCAGCGTTCCCTGTGGTGGAGGCAGGGAAGGGGTTTAAACAGAATTAAATCCCTTTAACATCGGTTTTGCAGCGGCAGAGCTTGTGTTAAAATTGCCTGTGCTGCATGGGGTGGGTTTGGGACCCTGCTGATCCTCTAGCCAGGCACGGATGCAACATGGCTACAAGATGAAGGGATATACTGCAAAAACCTGGTATTTTGCTGATGGACAGGGCTGCACAGGGCCTTTTGCAGCATATTTGGGGCTCAAACTGGAATATGCTGAGGCTTTCATCCCTAAAAGCTGTGCAAATGTTGGTAGTGACTGGGGAGGATGCTGGGGGGAAGGCAGGAGCCTTGATTGTGCTGCAGATCCCCCATGTCCAGCACCAGCACACCCCGGGGACAGCTGGTGCTGGGTGCTGATGGGGTGGTTTATACTCTTCTGCCTTAATGAGCTCATTCGTGGGAGGATGCGTTAAACAGGAGGATGCATTTTAGAAGCATCCACCTGGGGAACGTGTCCCTGGAGAAGCGAGCATCAAACAACCGTTTGCTGGTAGAAATCAGGGTTGAATCATTGCTCCTTTGCCAACCCCCCAGTGTTTTGTGTTGGGCTCTCTGCAGCCATGCAGACAGGTTTGACTGTATCCAAGCACAGCCTTTTCCCTCCTTGGCTTCACCCACAGAAGTCCAGGCATGCCCGGGCAGCTCCAGTGGGGCCTTCATTGCAACACAGGCAGGGAGAAAACTGTATTTATCGTTTGCATCGGTACAGCTAATGAATGTGTGCCCACGGAGGGCTTTTGTAGAGGCAGAAAGCCCTGCATGGTTTTGAGGTGGAAAAGAGCCGAGTGCCGCCGCTTTTAGCACTTGCATGGTTTCCTGGCTGTGCCACAAACCTGCTGTGGGTTCAGTCTGTGGGGTTTTGGGGTTGGTCTCTGTTTCACAATGAGACCTGAGGACCCTGGGGTGCGCAGCACAGGCCTGCCTTCAGCTGGGGGCTGCCAGGACTCGGAAGATGCTTCTCCTCCAGCTGAAGGTGTTGGTGTCTCACCAAGGTCACCCCATCCCCAGGCCCTGAGCTCAGCCCTGCTTGGAGCTGTGTGCTCCCACCACCAGCTCCCCTCTCCCCATCCTCCTGCCCCCAAACCCCCCCGGTAGGACACCCCTCAGCAGCGGGGCCCTGCCACCCATCATCCCCCCCACACTTCCCGACATTTTCCTCCCGTTCCTCCCAGCGGGGTACGTGTGTCTGGGATCCTCCCCCCACCAGGAATACCCCCGATTCATGGAGTGGGGCCGTGCCAGACCCCCCCCCCCTTTTTCCACTCCCCCCATCCCTATCCCGCAGCGCGGGGCGGGGCTCACCGCTTCCCCCCCCCTTCCTCTTCTCCGCTTCCCCCTTCCGCGCTCCCGCAGCGCGGCCGCGGCCGCTCCGCGCCTGGCGGCGGAGGGTGCGCGTAACCAGGGACACGCACACACAGCGCGGCCCCGCGCCCATCGCTTTGCGGCCGAGCCCCGGTAACAAAGACCCGACCCGCACCCCCCTGCATCCCGCTCCATCCCTAGCCCCAGCCCCGGCCCCGCCGCGGGATGTAGCCGGGCCGGGTGCTGGCAGCGAGGCTCCGCGGCGCCCCCGATGCCCCCGCAGTGAGGCCGGGCGCGGTGCTGCCGGCCACCATGGGGAAATCCAACAGCAAGTTAAAGCCTGAAGTTGTGGAGGAGCTGACCAGGAAAACGTACTGTGAGTGACCGCAGCGGGCCGGGGACCGGCATGGGGGGGCCTCGGGCTGTGTTGGGCTCCGCGGTGCCGCTCCCCGCGGCCGCAGAGCAGGGCTGTGATTGCTCCGGGCAGCGGCGGCCGTTCCGCGGGGAGGGCGCAGGCTCGGCCGGGCTTTGTTGCATGGATCCCGGGGTAATAAAGCGCACCCCACACCGGCAGCAGGGACGAGGAGAGGGGCAGGGAGGCGGTGGAACGCTCTGTTCTCTCATTAAAACAACCCTTCGTGGCCTGTTTCTCAGTCTCCAGCAACCGCGGGGCAAGGGCCGCGTCCTGCCTGCCCGGAGCAAGGCGCCTTCCCTTATTAACCCCCTGCTCCGAGCATCTTTGCTCGCAGGGCCCCGCTGCCAGCCGGGGATGCAGGGACCGTGCTGGTCGTCCTGCGGCGCTGCTTCCCAGGAGCCAGGGGGCTTCTTCATAAACAGGGAACCAAAGCGCCTGGGTGGGTGCCTTGCAAAGTTTGGGTGCGTTACTTGGAGGGTTTCCTTTGTTATTATGCTCTGAAGCGGAGCAAAGAGCCCGGCACCAGGGAGTTGGGTGTTTTTCTATGAGTATCTCAGTATCAGTTTAATAACCTGATTTTCTAAGTGAGTGGCTTTCCTGTCTGAACCTCCGCTGTAATCTTATTAACGTGGCTACTGTCTGAGCCATCCAGTTTTAGCACAATCAGATGGGTTTATTTCCCTGAAGGATGCACAAAGGAAACAAAGGGTTTGGTGGCTCAAGTTTCCCTCCCCGCTTGCAGGTCGGAGCTATTCCCCTCCTGTGTAGCAGCCCCGCGAGCTCTCCCCGCTGTCATTGCTGCAGTCCCACGGCAGCGCTTACCCAAAAAGGCAATAGATCAGGATGCAGCAAGTTCTCCCATATGGAGGAGAGGCAACACTGGTGCATTGCACAACCCTGCACGCGGGGCTGCTCTCTGGTCGGGCAGGTTGTCTGCATAGCCAAACCGTGAGCGGTGGGAGGAGAGGTTGGGTACCCCATTGGACTCGGGGGAGAAGAAACAGTGAGAACGTGGCGGTGATGCTGGGCTGGAGCCGAGCGCCGGGTCGGTTTTGGTGTCCTCGCTGCAGCGGTGACCCGCGGCGGGTGCCGCCGCACTGGGTCAGGGATGGTTGTTGCTGTGCTGCAATCACCCGTGTGGTTTGCAGCCACCACGATGATCCAGTCTCCAATGGAGAGGGATCTGGGAAAAGCCGGCCCCAGCGCAGCTGCATCACCTGTGTGCTGGGCTTTCACAGCCCGGGGTGGCTCCTCTCTGCGCAGGGAGGATACCAACCCCAGCGGGGCTGGTGATGATGCCCCATGTCCTACCAGCAACCAAACACAGCACTGGTGAAACCGTGGTCTGCTGGCACAGGGATGCATGAGGCCAGCAGAGGGTCATTGCCTTTGGAATCACTTTATTCCCAACTTTTAACTCCTCTCCTTTGAGTGCTTTCCCCTTTCCATCACACCCCATCCAAGAGCCACTCTGGTCCTTTGATTGCTCCATCAATGACTCTGTGGCCTGTGTGGGGTTTTGCCTGCCTGCTCCAGGCCTCTCAGTGCCTCTTTTTCAAGACCCATTTACCTGTGCAGGTGAGGCAGGAGCCCCGGCAGCCGTGCCGTGGGGCAGCACATGGCCGGAGCCTGGTGCAGCATCCCAACGTGCCCCAGCACCACGCGGCTGGCGATGCAGTGCCCGTCAGGGAGAGCCCTGGCTAATTCCAGGCTCAGTTTTGAGCTCTGCTCATTCCGTCTCTCGTCTCTGGGATTCATGACTTCTGCTGAGTGTTTCTGCCCCTTTTCTGCAGCTGTCAAGGCGAGTGCGTGTTCCCTTGTCTGGTGCCCTCCCAGGCACGTCTGAGAGCCTCTGATTTATCTCCAGGCCCTGGGAGGCTGGGAAGGTATTCATTTCCTTTTGCGCTCTGGGGAATCCAGGCAGGGGAGGTGCAGGTAGGAGTGCAGGGTTGCACTGAGTGCAGTGGGAGGGACTGATCCAGACCCCTGTGTCATGGCTAATGGTAGCTGTACCCACAAATCCATGGCAAACTCAGGAATTCCTGGGATGTTTCTGCTTGGGAAAGGTTTTACTCCACAGCACTGTGGTATTTTGGTACCTTTCTGGCAGTGATCATCCTTCTAAGAGCATCCTTGCCATGTGCTGCCCATCCCGTGTGCTGGCTGCAGGCACTGGCTCTGCCTCATGTGTGGTGCTCTTTGCAGTGCTGTTACAACACATCTGGGCAGATGCCTCCAGGAGCCCATACCTGGGTCCCACACTCATCCTGGGGAGGTTCCCATGGCACTGTGAGCTGTGGCTGTGGAATGTGCAGGGTTTCTCCCACAACGGGGTTTCCTTCCATTGCATCATTTTCTGTCTGTGCCATTTCCAGTCAAAACGAAGCAAATAACAGAAATCCCCTTCTTGGTTTTGCAGGACCAGAGAGATGGGGTTTTGTGGCAAATTTACCTCATCCATGGCACACAGAGGACCCACAGCCTGTGCTGTGTCCCCTCAGTGCTCTTCCAGTGCCTGGTAGCTTCTTGTGTCCCCCAGCCACTGTCCCCTCTGGTCTCTCCATCTCCTCTTTGTGGTGTTTCTCTGGCTTGCCTTGGTCACAGCAATCTTGGGGCAAGCAGGCGATGGGAGCGTGGCACTGTGGGTGCATGGCACGGTGCTGTGCCGAGGATGCTGCAGGCCCTCCATGAGATGTGAGACTTACTTCACTGCAGGTATCCAGAGCAGGTTGTCCCAGGCCCTGCTGGGGACATAGAAGGGCAGAGTCTGTAAACCTCATCTCTTGGCTCCCCTTCTCAATCCACTCCTGACTTACAGTGCTGAGGACCAGATTTGGGTGGCCCTTGGACACCTGAAGGTGCAGGAGGACATCTGAGGGCTTCTTCATAGCGCTGGCTGCCCCAAATCCTGTTGACTTGAGCCCGTCGTCGTGAGCCTTCCAGGATCTCCAGGCACCTGATGCCCAGGAATAGCTGTCAGTGCCAAGCTCACCTGTCTGGCTGCAGGCAAGGATTTAACCTTCCTCAGAGGCCAGGCCGGTGCCGTACAGGAGGGTGCAGGAGAAGCCAACGCTGAGTGATAACAATAATGAATAATAAATCGTGTAATGCCTTGTACTTCCATGGAGCCTTTCATCCCAAAGCTCCTAAAGTGCTTTATGATCATTCATTTATTCGTCTTCCCGATGCCACGTTGAGGTACCTCCGAGATGCAGTTTTGGCCTCTGTGTGTTTTGTCCCAGGAGGTGATAACACCCGAGGCTTGAAGGAGCCACCGTCCTCCCTTTATCATGGCCCCTCTTCGGCAGGGGTTTAAGCCTGGGCTTAACTTGGGCCAGGTGCTTGCTGCTCAGGGCCGAGGTGGGATTTGGGATTGTGCTTAAGAGCCTTGTGGGGCCGAGCGCGAAGGGTTCTGCTAAGCTGGAGCTTTATGAAGGTGCTGGGTACCGCTGCTCCCTGCAGCCTGCTTGGAGCTGTGTGAGGGGCACGTGTGCAGCTGTGGGTGCGGAGCATGTGTTGTGGGTGGAAGTGGTTCTGTATGGACCATGGGAGGAAAACGTGGTGCTGAGCATCCCTACTCGCAGCAGCGGTCCCAGCCACAGCATCCGCAGCCCTTAAAATCATGAAACGGGCTTAAAAATAAGAGGTTGTTTCAGAAGAACACATTTTAGCTCCTATTTTAAGTCATTTTGGGGTGGTTTGGGTTTCAGGGTTCATTTTCATCATGATTTCCCATGTCTGGAACTCCTAACGCTGGATTTTTCTAATGCTGGCTGCAACAGCCGTGCAAGCCAGCTCCCCTGGAGCCATGTAGGTGCAGCAGCATCACTGCTGGCACCGGGCACAGGGTCAGGATGATGGTCCTGAGGCTCTGGTGAAGGTGTGGGAGCCGTGTTGAAGGTACCAACATGATACCCACGGCACTGGGAGGCCCCGAGCTGCAGAGTGGGAGCAGGGAGAAGAGGATGCTCTTTTCCCAAGAACTGCATCCCACCCACTGTGATCTATTTTGTGGATTCTAAACTCACTCTGGCAGCATCATTTTCTGCTCTTTTACAATAAACTGCAGAATTGGCTCTGTGGCTCGACAGTAATGCTCTGAATTAATGGACATTAGTTTAAGAGCAAACTACAAACACATTGATCTGTAGTTACAGGGGTGCATCGTGGTGGGGAGCGTTCAGTGGGAAGGAGAATTCTCCAATTGCAGCAGTTTTCAGCCAGGAAAATGGGTCGGTTCTTCACTGGAAGCACTGGGATGGGCTTTGCTCCATGGTTCCATCCCGCTGGTGGGCAGGAGCAGAGGAGGGACCTCAGTGGCTTCCCGCTGCTGGCTTGTTTTTAGCCTCTGATGTGTTTGTCCTCGGGTGCCGAGTTTCTCTGCTAGGTTGGTTGGTGTTGAAATCCCTCCTGTTGCTCATCTGGCAGCAGCAGGGCAGGACACCCTGGTGGTTACGCACCCGTTGTTCCCTTAGCAGCAAACACTGGGTGAAATACCCAAAGCACAGAGCCCCAGAACAGCCCCAAAGCTCCTCTCGCCCTACAAGCACCCGTTTGGGGGCAGAGAACTGGGGGCAGCATTCCAGGCTGGGATGGGAGCGCCAAGGGACTTGCTCCTGGGAGAGGGGTATCAGGATGCTGAGGCGGATGCCTGCCTGGGTGTGAAGCTGGAGCTGGGCTGCTGCTCCCTGCCTCAAGTGCTCTCAGTGTGTAATAGGATTTGGAAGAGCCCAAAAGAGGAGTTCTGGGGGGAGGACGAGAGCATCTGCACAAGCACCCTCGAGATGCACCGGGGAGAGGGGATAAGAGCAGGTCTGCTCTCCTGTGCCAGCCAGGGATCCTGAGGGAGGGTGATGGATGCGCCGGAGGGATGCTCATGGGCTGGCTTCTGTTTTGGGCCTGTTTTTCCTGCAGCCATGTGGCACCCAGAGCTGCAATGATGGGAGCTGCGTGCAGGTTCA